ATGATCCTGGGAGCTATGCTGTCTGGGGCTTCATGCCCCTGGTAGGGCCTCCCATGGCAGACAGGTCTCGGGTGACGAGTCAGACAAAGAGCAGTCCAGAAGACACCATGGACAGCACTCATACGAAACCAGTGACGTCGCCCGGCATGGCGCAGCCGGGGCCCCACCCTGGAGCCAGGCCTGGGGTCGGGGCTCGTAGGCGAGCGCCTGGTGGCCGGGCCTTAGCCCACGGGGCCCGGCCGGGCTCAGCCCGAATGGACAACGTGGGCAGTCCCTCCTGTGGGCCCACCACCTGCAGAGGGGTCCGTGGTGGCATGGTGCAGAGAGGACTGGGCAGCAGTCGAAGGCGGAGACCTCGACGACCCAGTCCGCACACACAACAGCTGGCTCTCGGGACGTGGAACGTCACCTCACTGGGGGGGAAGGAGCCCGAGCTTGTGGGGGAGGTTGAGCGATACCGACTAGAGATAGTCGGCCTCACCTCCACACACAGCTTGGGCTCTGGAACCCAACTCCTTGAGAGGGGTTGGACGCTCCACTTTTCTGGTGTTTCCCGCGGGGAGAGGCGGCGAGCTGGGGTGGCCATTCTCATTGCCCCCCATCTCAGCCGCCACGTGTTGGAGTTCTCCCCGGTGAATGAGAGGGTCGCGTCCCTCCGCCTCCGGGTGGGGGACAAGTCTCTCACTGTTGTGACGGCCTACGGGCCTAACAGCAGTGCAGAGTACCCGGCCTTCTTGGAGTCCTTGGGAGGGGTACTGGACGGTGCACCGCCCGGGGACTCCGTTATTCTCCTGGGGGACTTCAACGCCCATGTGGGAAACGCCAGTGACACTTGGAGAGGGGTGATCGGGAAGAGCGGCCCCCCTGATCTGAACCCGAGCGGTGTTCAGTTGTTGGACTTCTGTGCCAGTCACAGTTTGTCCATCACGAACACCATGTTCGAGCTCAAGGGTGTCCACCAGTGCACGTGGCACCAGGACACCCTAGGCCGGAGGTCGATGATCGACTTTGTTGTCGTATCATCTGACCTTCGACCGCGTGTTTCGGACACTCGGGTAAAGAGAGGGGCGGAGCTGTCAACCGATCATCACCTGGTCGTGAGTTGGATCCGCTGGCAGGGGAAGAAGCCGGTCAGACCTGGCAGACCCAAGCGTATAGTGAGGGTCTGCTGGGAACGTCTCGCTGAGCCCCCTGTCAGACGGACTTTCAACTCACACCTCCGGGAGAGTTTCTCCCAGGTCCCGGTGGAGGAGGGGGACATGGAGTCCGAGTGGACCATGTTCTCTGCCTCAATCGCCGATGCGGCGGCCCGTAGCTGTGGTCGCAAGGTCTCTGGTGCTGGTCCCGGCGGCAACCCCCGAACCCGGTGGTGGACACCGGCAGTAAGGGAAGCTGTCAGGCTGAAGAAGGAGTCCTATCGAGCCATGATGGTTCGGGGGACTCCTGAGGCAGCTGTCCAGTACCGGCAGGCCAAGCGTGCCGCGGCCCGGGCTGTTGCAGAGGCAAAAACCCGGGACTGGGAGGAGTTCGGAGAGTCCATGGAGCATGACTATCGGTCGGCCTCAAAGAAATTCTGGCAAACCGTCCGGCGCCTCAGGAGGGGGAAGCAGTTCTTTGCCAACACCATGTACGGTGCGGGTGGAGAGCTGCTGACCTCGACGGGGGATATTGTCGGGCGGTGGAAGGAACACTTTGAGGTTCTCCTCAATCCCCCCGTCACGTCCTCTGTCTCAGAGGCAGAGGCTGAGGATGCTGGGGCGGATACATCCATCTCCCTGGCTGAGGTCACCAAGGTGGTTGGTAGCCTCCATGGTGGCAAGGCTCCGGGTGTGGATGAGATCCGCCCTGATTATCTAAAGTCTCTGGATGTTGTAGGACTGTCTTGGCGGACACGTCTCTGCAACATCGCGTGGCGATCGGGGGCGGTGCCAGTGGAGTGGCAGACCGGGGTGGTGGTCCCTCTCTATAAGAAGGGGGACCGGAGGGTGTGTTCCAATTATCGTGGGATCACACTCCTCAGCCTCCCCGGTAAGGTCTACTCCAAGGTACTGGAGAGGAGGCTACGGCCGATGGTCGAATCTCGGATCCAGGAGGAGCAGTGTGGTTTTCGTCCCGGTCGCGGAACACTGGACCAGCTCTATACTCTCCATCGGATACTCGAGGGTTCATGGGAGTTCGCCCAACCTGTCCACATGTGCTTTGTGGATTTGGAGAAGGCGTTCGACTGTGTTCCCCGGGGTGTCCTTTGGGGGGTTCTCCGGGAGTACGGGGTCGGGGGTCCTCTGCTGAGGGCCATCCGGTCCCTGTATGACCGGAGCCAGAGCTGTGTTCGCATTGCCGGCAGTAAGTCAGACCTGTTCCCGGTGAATGTTGGCCTCCGACAGGGCTGCCCTTTGTCACCGGTTCTGTTCACTGTATTTATGGACAGAATATCTAGGCGCAGCCAGGGGTCGGAGGGGGTCCGGTTCGGGGACCACAGGATTTCATCTCTGCTGTTTGCGGACGATGTTGTCCTGTTGGCTCCAACGAACCAGGACCTGCAGCATTCACTGGGACGGTTTGCAGCCGAGTGTGAAGCGGCTGGGATGAGAATCAGCACCTCCAAATCTGAGGCCATGGTGCTCGACCGGAAAAAGGTGCCCTGCCCTCTTCAGGTGGGTGGAGAGGTCCTTCCTCAAGTGGAGGAGTTCAAGTATCTCGGGGTCTTGTTCACGAGTGAGGGAAGAATGGAGCGTGAGATTGACAGGCGGATCGGTGCAGCGTGCGCAGTGATGCGGTCGCTGTATCGGACCGTTGTGGTAAAGAGGGAGCTGAGCCGAAAGGCAAAGCTCTCGATTTACCGGTCAATCTTCGTTCCCTCCCTCACCTATGGTCATGAGCTTTGGGTAATGACCGAAAGAACGAGATCGCGGATACAAGCGGTCGAAATGAGCTTCCTCCGCAGAGTGGCTGGGCGCTCCCTTAGAGATAAGGTGAGGAGCTCAGTCACACGGGAGGAGCTCGGAGTAGAGCCGCTGCTTCTCCACGTCAAGAGGAACCAGTTGAGGTGGCTCGGGCATCTGTTCCGGATGCCTCCTGGACGCCTCCCTGGGGAGGTGTTCCGGGCACGTCCCACCGGGAGGAGGCCCCGCGGAAGACCTAGGACACGCTGGAGAGACTATGTCTCTCAGCTGGCCTGGGAACGCCTTGGGGGTCCCCCCGGACGAGCTGGAGGAAGTGTGTGTGGATAGGTAAGTCTGGGCGTCTCTGCTTAGACTGCTGCCCCCGCGACCGGGCAACGGATAAAGCGGAAGAAAATGGATGGATGGAGATACGCACAGATCTGAGCGTACGCACCTGCGGCTGTTGATAAATGCCGTGCTCAAAACCAGCGTATTTATAAAAGTCACGCCTAGAAATATTCAGAAACTGCCTATTCCACGCCCTGTTTTTGCGACAGGTCAGCAGGAAGTCAGCTAAGAAGACTGCCTCAAAAAACACACACTTCTGAGATTATTCACGTTTAAAAAAATAGTTTTGAGCAAGATCAATTGAGTTTATGGGGCTTTATGCACAAAACTAAGGAAATCCCACACTGCTTTGCCAGAGGTGAATGAGGCAAAACATATGCGTAATTACGTATACGGCGCAGGGTCTGGTTAGTGAGTAAACGGCTAAGGAAAAATAACTTCACGGAGCAGGAGATTGAGACCATTATGAACGAAGTGGGAAAAAGAAAAAAGTCTTACTATTTGGAATTCTCAAAAGTGGCATCAAGGGGCTCAAAAAACAATATATGGAAAGAAATGACAGCATCTGTAAACAGCGTGGGGCCTGTAACACGCACTCCTGAAGAGGTGAGTTTCTTCATGTTCGAAGAAAAATACGCTATATTATATCAAACAGTCAATATATTTGAACAATAGTAAGAATTTATTAATTTATGCTACAAGTTACCTTAAAATTGTAACAAAAAGGCGTTTAGCGCAGCCCATAGAAGAAGTGCTCAGCAGCCCAGGGGGAGGACCGCCAGACCAAAGCATCCACGAGAAAATATAAAGAAATAAAATTATCTTCACATTATGTATGTGATTATTATTTTAAAATGGTTGAATGAAGCCTGTCTGAGCTGTACTGGCCGAAGGCGGTGCTGGCCATGGTCTCTCATCCACGGCTGCTCCATCAGTGGTACACCGTGGTTCTGTGCCTGTTATGGAGAACCGAGCCAGGACCATGTGGCACACTTGTACCGGGAGGTACCAGAGCGTATCCCTGCACGTCCCAGAGCCTGATCAGACCCGCGCAGCCTCCACGGTGGCGCGCTTCTTTGTTTGGACCCGCATGAACCAAAGCCATTACGCACTGATAGGTGCATATAACAATCCACACATTTGTGGAAGACTAAGTTTGACATCTTGCACGTTATTTAATTACACAAACAGCCCTAACATAACATCGTAAAATTGCATATTTGTAATGTGAGAGGTGTGCCTATAATCTTGTCAGAGTGGGAATATGTTTATTTTTGTCCAAATCTTGCATTTCATGCGTGTTTTGGCGTGTTGTAATGAAGGTTGAAATGAGCGTACACATTTACACCACCTCCAGACCTGGCGTATATTTTTTGCGTATCGTACGCTCACGTCCAGATTGATAAATGCGGAAAAGTGTAAATATTTTGCGTACGCATCATTTACAGCCTGATTTTGCCGTACGCAAGTTTCATATGTAATGAGGGGGGTTTTGATTATTGGAGGCAAGGGAAACGATTGAGTGGTGGACCGAATTAAAACAGTTATGGCAGAGCAGTGGTGTGACCAAAAGAGGACAGAGCAAACTGTTAAAAACAAATAATTTATTACAATAAATTAAAACAGGGATAAAAAGTCTTTAAAAGGTGATAAAAAGGTCCCGAGCGCAGGGGGGGGGGCCCTCTTCAGGGAGACCTGTGCACAAAAACAAAAGCCGGCAGGAACAATCCTCCACGTTTTGAATTTTAACGAGGGACAACGGGCGGGCACTTACACACACGGCAGGGATCCACCCTGCCGCTGCGTCCCTCGAGAGTCAGGCACCGTCTCCTGCTTGCGGTCCAGCTCCGCCCCTGGGCACAAGGACGAAACGGCAGCACCACACAGCCGAACACACAAGCAAGAGACCCCACAAAATGATCTTATAGCACCGCTACAACGACTAGAGGTACTTACAGGCACGGCAGGGATTCACCCTGCCGCTGCGTGTAGTCAACGTCACGGTGCTCTTCCCCGGGTCAGGTGCCTCCTCGGACCGCCGCTTCCCTCTCCACCACGCTCTAGACACAAGAGCAGAGCCAGTACACAGTACAACAAGCTTCGCCAGCTGCTGGGGCCTGAGGCTCTCCTGGTTGCACCAGCTAATCCACAGAGCGTTACTCACAGACAAGGCAGAGCTTTCTCGCTCTGCCGCTGCGTGGATAGGGCTCGCTGGTGCAGCCTGGGTCACTGCTCGGTCCGGTCTTGTAGAGCCGTGGTCTCCAACGCGTTGTCCTCAGTGGCTCTTGTTTACTGTTCCGTTTTCCGTTCCGTTCGTTGCCCTGCGCTCCTCTGTCCGTTTCACTTGCCCTTTTATTCGCTGCTCTCTAATCAAGCGCAGGTGCTTCTAATTTTGTGGTGCACAGGATTGGGCAACAACGTCCATGGGGCTCTGCGGCATGTCTCCAGCTGGAGCAGGACTAAAATGTTAAAACACTCATGCATATAAAAACACCACTGCAAACTAAAACAAAACATGTCCTCTCCCACATGCCGGATCACACATAGATGAGGCCCAATGACACAGTAAAGTGACAGTAACATGTGGTTATTGCACGTTCTGATATATATTGCACCGACGCATGACACGTGAGATCAGGTTGGCTGTGTTCACTGGGAAGAAGAGGGCAAACGATGCAACTTTGCAGCTGGCTCCCTATAGCTTCTACACTCAAGTAAAAACTAGTGATAGAACCAAACTGTTTTTAGTGCGAGAAACTAGATACATAGCTTTTTTAATTAATTAACCCTTTGTGGTTTTCAAAGTTGGCTCCTGCGGCTTCATATTCAACTGTGATGGTGCCAAATATGTCAGGTATTGTACACATACCTGAGTGACAACTGCCAGAGTGTTTTCCAAAACAGTTGTGACGCAGCTGAAGTGTCTGTTTGTTCTGTGATTGTTGCCCATTGATGTCATGACTTTCTGGTATGTCACGAAAGGCGATATCCCGACGGCCCGGCGCTCTGCTGTTCAACTATTCCAAAACACTTGATCCGATTGGATGGCTGCTGCTGGCTCCTGAACACTGAGTACGTTTACTCTGTACTTGGTGCTGTTATGTTTCTGAGTATTGATTTTACAAATGCTGTTGTCAATAGTGCAGTTGCGGTTGTAGAGCTGAGAACTGGAAGAAATGTAGGGAGAGGTCCAGTATGGTAGAATGACAAGGACCAAAGAGATCCTGGGAAAATAGGTCTAATTTTCAGTTCAAAATATATAACCAGACAATTCAATTCAAGATTTGTCCACACAACGGCCACACAGCGACACCTGATAAGCTTATCTTTTTCCTTTTACTCCAATCACACACACTGGTAGAATCCATAGAAGTAAATGTTTTTGTATAACACGTTTTCTGTGAATATTAATTTTACTATGACTATATATGAGCACTCAAAAATAGATATTCTTAATTTGATGATGTTTCGTCAATCAGCCTGTATATGTAATTGGTTCCAACGAAAGAGAAAATCAGAATCAGAATCAGAATCAGAATCATTTTTATTGCCAACGTAAGTAACGGGAGGTCACAGACTTGGAAATTGCTTTGGCTCAGTGCAACAGTCAAAAAGAGATAATAAAAATAAGAATAAAAAACACTTCTAAAGAATAAATTTAAATTTAAAATAGAGTTACAGTTACTATTTACAATATACAAGTGCACATGGTGCACACAATGTAAGGTGACAGCAGTACAGTGAAGTAAAGTGACGTATGATGGGCAGTAAAGTGACTTTATAAAGGGCGGGGGGACAGGTTAAGAAGTGTTCAAGAGTCCAACAGCAGAGGGGAAGAAACTGTTCTTGTGGCGGGAGGTTCTAGTCCTGATGGACCGCAGCCTCCTGCCTGAGGGGAGTGGTTGGAATAGTCCATGTGCAGGGTGAGAGGGGTCGGCTGTGATACGACCAGCCCGGCCTCGAGCTCGGGCGACGTACAGGTCCTGCAGCGATGGAAGGCTGCGGCCGATCACTTCCTCTGCAGAGCGCACAATGCGCTGTAGTCTCTGTTTGTCCCTGACTGTGGCTCCAGCGAACCACACGGTGATGGAGGAGGTGAGGATGGACTCGATGATGGCCGTGTAGAACTGCACCAACATCTGTGCAGGCAGCTTGGCTTTCCTGAGCTGCCGCAGGAAGTACATCCTCTGCTGGGCCTTCTTGATGAGGGAGCTGATGGTCGGCTCCCACTTGAGGTCCTGGTTGATGGTGGTGCCCAGGAAACGGAAGGACTCCACAGAGGTGATGGGGGAGTCCATCACGGAGGGTGGGGGCGGGGGGACAGTGCTCTTCCTGAAGTCCACAATCATCTCCACTGTCTTCTGGGCGTTCAGCTCCAGGTTGTTACCACTGCACCAGGACACCAGCCGGTCCACCTCCCTCCTGTAGGCGGACTCATCGTTGTTGGAGATGAGTCCAATGAGGGTGGTGTCGTCCGCGAACTTGATCAGCTTCACGGAGTCGTGGCTGGAGGTGCAGTGGTTGGTGTACAGGGAGAAGAGCAGGGGAGAAAGAACACAGCCCTGTGGGGCTCCTGTATTTATAATCCGAGAGTCCGAGACATTCTTCCCCAGACGCACTCGCTGCTTCCTGTCCGTCAGGAAGTCAGTGATCCACCTGCAGGTGGAATCGGGCACGTTGAGCTGGGAGAGCTTGTCCTGGAGCAGGGATGGCAGGATTGTGTTGAAGGCAGAGCTGAAGTCCACGAACAGGACCCTGGCGGTAGGTCCCCGGGGAGTCCAGGTGCTGTAGGATGTGGTGGAGGGCCAGGTTAATGGCGTCGTCTACAGATCTGTTGGCTCTGTAGGCGAACTGCAGGGGGTCCAGGAGGGGGGAGGTGAGGGACTTGAGATGGGAGAGAACCAGGCGTTCAAATGACTTCATGACGACAGACGTAAGTGCTACAGGTCTGTAGTCATTGAGTCCTGTGATCCTGGGCTTCTTCGGGACGGGGACAATGATGGAGGATTTGAAGCAGGCCGGGACATGGCAGGACTGCAGAGAGGTGTTGAAAATGTCCGTGAACACAGGAGTAAGCTCACTGGCGCAGTGTCTCAGAGTGGCCGGAGACACGTGGTCCGGGCCAGGAGCTTTGCGGGGGTGCAGCCTCAGGAAGAGTTGTTTAATCTCTTTAGCGGCTATTGTTAGGCTGGGGGCAGGGCTGATGGGTGGGTCGTTAGAGTAGTTAATTATTCCGCCGCAAATTACCTCCTGTATTTGTCCAAACACAGACGTCCTCTGAAAATACTAATCCCGTGCAAATCTGCATGTCAGTGATTGTGATCGCTATTGCCTCTTTTGCTTTACTTTTTGTGTCATTTTTTATCAATGAGCATAAGACTCGCAGATCACGGATGTGAACACCTGTGGAGTCGCGGCTGCTGCCGTCTCTGTAGGGTTTATGGAGAAATGTAGAGGTCAGTTATGTGTTTACTGACCCAAAATGATGAGACCGCTGGGTTTTGTTTGTACGTTTACTTTGCACTCTGTCCTAATGCAGTACAGAAATGTTGAGTCCGCTCGCGCGTATGTTTGCAAATCATTTGGTGCGTTCATTGGTAAACATCACAGACAGTCCAAGCCAGAGAACTGTAGACCAAAAAAATCCACATGTATGTGTTTGTCTTCATGGTCTCTGTGGCTGCTGTGGTCAGACGCCAGTCTCTATGGGCTGTGTGAAGCGGAGTGACTCGTGCATGTGCGGCCGTTATGCAGATGTCAGTGAAAATTACAGACATTGCTTATATGCACTGCAAGATCTCAGACGTCCTCCGGGATTATCCCAAATTACCAGGGGTCCACAGGTAATACTAATCCCGTGCAAATAGGGTTTTTGTCTTCTGTTGATGAGAAGGGACTATACACCAGTCAACAAAGTCCTGTCTTAGTTCTATGTCTTACTGACAGTAGAGTGCAAAAAGTAACACACGTCCTCAGCCTTGGCTGATGGGATGCATATGATGTAAACAGCTTTGACAATAGTATGTCTAAACTCCCAAGGCAAATAGAAGGGCCTCATGATAATAGCCAGCAAATCTATGTCTCTGCTACAATCTTGTTGCTTGATAGTGCAGTCCTCCGACTTACACCAATGTCCATTCACAAACACGTCATTGAGCCCTCCCCCTCTGCTCTCACTGGTGTCCGACCTGAACAGTTGGAAGTTCTCCAGTAATATGACCAATTCTGGGAAGGTTTAATTCAGTCAGATGTCCGTATATATCTGCGGACTGCGGCCTCTGAATTTCTTCTGAAGGCAGGTCAATGCTGAGAGTTGGTCTGCCTTATTACAATGATGAGTCATTGGGGCCAAAGGTTGGAGCCAGGAGAAGGCTGGCATCTCAGCTTTAAGAGAATATGACTCATCTGTTTGATGATTGCTCTTATTTCCTACTTTCTCTTGCTGTTATTTCCTTCTTTCGGTGCTGTAATATGCGCAACAATGACACTGAAATTGCCCCACGTGGGACAAATGAAACATCTTATCAAACATTAATGGCATGGCAGGGCCATTTAAATGATTGAAATTAAAAATGGTCTCGATAAAATCCTTATGTTGTATAATATCACTCCACTGATAAGGAGTCACATTATTAGTTCTAATAAATAATCTTAATGTAATTGTATTGAATATGAAAAACTTTTGAGGTCATTTTAATGTATAGTGTTCTTCAATATAAAAATAGCTGCAGCACTACCTTGTTAAATGATCATTTTGTCAGACTATGAAGTAATAAGTAATCTTTATTTTTTTTGTATACCGCCTTTCACAGACCAGTCACAAAGCGGTTTACAATAGTTATTTTTGGGCATTTGTCCTCTCACTCCACACAGAGATGGGAGCGGGGTCGCCAGTACAGGAGGCGCATGCACAGTCCTATTGTACATGTTTTTAGTGGTAGGGGGAACCGGAGTACCCGGAGGAAACCGATGCAGACACGGGGAGAACATGCAAACTCCACTCAGAAAGGCCCTGGTCCGATCGGGATTGTAAAAGATTTTTAAAAATTGTTTATTTCCTAAGTGACACGTAATTTTCTGAATCTGTAACGCGTGTTAGGGCTAGGGCGGAACGACTGCAAGGCAAGTATGGTAAGTATCAGAAGTAGGAACGACGAAGGGAGCCAAGGTGTGTGAATAACAACAACAGGTAAATTCAGTTTAAGGTAAATTATTGTATTCAACAATTTTTCGGTGTTATGTAATAATTCAGATATAGAATGATTCGATAATAAAGTAGCTATACAATATTTATTTATGAATAAACAATTATAATAGATAATAACAAAAAACAACAGAAGGTGTCCTTCAAAAGGTAACAAAAAAGATAGTTTAGAGTTCAAAAAGAGGTATTCAAGTTCAATGAGGTATTTTTTGTATTTTTAATCCAAAGGGTAAGGATTGTAATCCACAGGGTATTGTTGAAAATGGAAAAGATTATTCCTACCACAATGATGCGGGGGTAGTGGGAATCAGAGTGAGCGCAGGGTGTATATACCCTTGAACCTTTCAACATTTGGCCACATTTCAGGCTTCAAACATAAAGATATAAAATTTTAATTTTTTGTCATGAATCAACAACAAGTGGGACACAATCGTGAAGTGAAACGAAATTTATTGGATAATTTAAACCTTTTTAACAAATAAAAAACGGAAAAGTGGGGCGTGCAATATTATTCGGCCCCTTTACTCTCAGTGCAGCAAACTCACTCCAGAAGTTCAGTGAGGATCTTTGAATGATCCAATGTTGTCCTAAATGACTGATGATGATAAATAGAATGCAGCTGCTCTTTGATAGTCTCAGGGTACTGTTTAAAGCGCAGAGAGAACCACGAAGACAAAGGAACACACCAGGCAGGTCCGAGATACTGTTGTGGAGAAGTTTAAAGCCGGATTTGGATACAAAAAGATTTCCCAAGCTATAAACATCTCAAGGAGCACTGTGCAAGCAATTATATTGAAATGGAAGGAGTATCAGCAGCCAAGAGGCCCATGATCACTCTGGATGAACTGCAGATAACTGCAGCTGAGGTGGGAGAGTCTGTCCATAGGACAACAATCAGTTGTGCACTGCACAAATCTGGCCTTTATGGAAGAGTGACAAGAAGAAAGCCATTTCTCAAAGATATCCATAAAAAGTCTCATTTAAAGTTTGCCACAAGCCACCTGGGAGACACACCAAGCATGTGGAAGAAGGGGCTCTGGTCAGATGAAACCAAAATCGAACTTTTTGGCCACAATGCAAAACGATATGTTTGGCGTAAAAGCAACACAGCTCATCACCCTGAACACACCATCCCCACTGTCAAACATGGTGGTGGCAGCATCATGCTTTGGGCCTGCTTTTCTTCAGCAGGGACAGGGAAGATGGCTAAAATTGATGGGAAGATGGATGGAGCCAAATACAGGACCATTCTGGAAGAAAACCTGTTGGAGTCTGCAAAAGACCTGAGACTGGGACGGAAATTTATCTTCCAACAGGACAATGATCCAAAACATAAAGCCGAATCTACAATGGAATGGTTCACAAATAGACGTATCCAGGTGTTAGAATGGCCAAGTCAAAGTCCAGACCTGAATCCAATCGAGAATCTGTGGGGTGAGCTGAAGACTGCTGTTCACAAACGCTTTCCATCCAACCTCACTGAGCTCGAGCTGTTTTGCAAGGAAGAATGGGCAAGAATTCCAGTCTCTCGATGTGCAAAACTGATAGAGACATACCCCAAGCGACTTGCAGCTGTAATTGCAGCAAAAGGTGGTGCTACAAAGTATTAGCGCAAGGGGGCCAAATAATATTGCATGCCCCACTTTTCAGTTTTTTATTTGTTAAAAAAGTTTAAATTATCCAATACATTTTGTTCCATCAATTTGGTTTTAGGGCAAACAGATCTACCTCTATGGCAGTCATGGAATTGGCAGGAAATAACATCAGCAAACAGATAATAGAGAACATACAGTGGGTGTGTTTGTTGATCTCAGCAAGGCATTTGACACCATAAATAACCAGTTGTTTTTATCAAAGCTTGAAAGATATGGTTTTAGAGGAGTTGCCAATGACTGGCTAAAAAGCTATCTTTGTGGTAAGTAAGTAAGTAATCTTTATTTATATACCGCCTTTTCACTGCAGATCTGAGTCTCAAAGCGGTTTACAATTGTTAATATTGGGCAATTGTCTCTCACTCCACACAGAGATGGGAGCGGGGTCGCCAGTACAGGAGGCGCATGCTAGAACTATTGGACATATTTTTAGTGGTAGGGGAAACCGGAGTACCCGGAGGAAACCTACGCAGACACGGGGAGAACATGGAAA